TGGCATCGGCATCTGGTGGGGGACAGCTCAGTGGGGACTGGGCCCTGGGGACGGTCCTCTGCTGAGGAATGCAGAGCAACAGGCGGCTGGCTGGCTGTGGAGGGCACTGAGCCTCTCCCGCCCACCCTGGGCCTGTCCCCAGCCCCCACTGCCAGCCCCCATGCAGGCCGGCTCTCCGCTGTGCACCTGCACTTGGCCTCGGGTAGGACCAGCCCAGCCTGGAGAAAGGACAGGGGCTTCCACTGCCGCTCTGATGGTGAGCTTCCCGAGGAAGGCAGAGGGACGGTGATGCCAACATCTGGGCACACGACAGCTTTTCCACAGCCCGGAGCAGGTGGAGGTGAAAGAGAGCATCCTCCAAGGAACAGGACATTACTGCCACCTGCCCTGGGGCTGCACAGCCCTCCCACCCAGCTCCGCCCCGCCCCGTCTCCACCTCCACGGGGATGGAGGGAGCTCGCACCAGGTCCAGCCCAGCCCCTCTCAGCGCCCCCCCAGCTGTCCTAAGGGGGGGGGCACACAAGACACTGCTTTCCTCCCTGGTGCCCTCAGTATGCCGCTGTCTAGAGGGCAAAATGAGAGGCTGGGGAGCCAGACACCTGGGCTTCTGCCCTTTGACTGGTGGGAGTGGGGAGGGGTGTCCAGAGGAGACTTGGGTGGCCCCAGAACTTCCCTCCCTAGAGAGTGGCAAGGAGCAACTCAGGCAGGAAGACAAATGCCCGGGAAGGCTGCAGGGATCTAAGAAGGGAGAATGGGGGTGGGGTGGAGAGAGAAGTGCCTCAGACACAAAAGGGACCAGCATGGATCTAGGGGCGAGAGGACCAGGGCCAGGAGCAGGACCGCAGTGGTGAGGCGGCGCCGTGCCGCTAAGCAGTCCCACAGAGGGAAACGCGCAGCCTCAGCCCCGCACCTCTGCACGCACTGGCCTTCCCGCTTCCACTTTCCCACGCTCACACTCGAGCACTCCAAGAAACTGAGGCACAGAGACTGCAGGCACAGAGCTGATTAGCAGGTGAATTAGGAGGCAGCTTAGAGCAGGGGGAGGAGCACAGGTGCTCGGAAGTGACAGTGCCCTGGGTTCACATCCAGACTCCTCCACTCCCTGCCCGTGTCGGGGCATCTGCACGACGGGATAACGTTGGTCACCCGGCAGGTTTAACGGGCTAATGCGCGCACGGTGCCCGCACTGGGTCCGACAATCACAGTTCAGACGCCTTCCTACCACAGGCTTCTTTCTGATCTTAATCAAGTCATTAGTTAAAGGGTTGGAGGTGCATTCAATTCACCCAACAGTTCACGATAGCTTTGAGAGACACCTCTCAGGTCCAGTAAGGTTGGGGCTTATTTTTAAAACATTTTATTTATAGTCAATTCCTCAGGAGTCTACCCTGCATTTTGTTCCCTCCAAGGATTGCATGTCTTTTACTTCATTCAAAACTGGCTGTTCCCATTCTCCAGTGGGTAAAACTGAGGCCCTGCAGGACAAACTGGGAAGGGACGTGGTGACGAAGCCAGTGGATGAACTGCCTTGCCTCAGCTGGCTGCGGCTGCCGCCCTGCCCTTTGCTCCCAGAGCTGTCAGAGTGAGGGTGCCTGCCACTTCCTGTGGGGGGGCACCCACCGGGAGGTTTTCAGGAGCTGAGACCCAATCAGGCCGGGCGGTTGGGGCGGGGGAGGGGAGGCTTCTGGGGCTTGTGGTTACTACACTCCACTTCCTTGTGATGACATAAGCCCTATTTCTGCAGCAGGAGGCCACCACCGAGACTCTCAGGGCTCCACGCAGCCCGCATGAGGGCCTGTTTAGGCCTCAGTTTCCCATATCTGTAAACCGGACAGCATGGGACATGGGTGGCATTGATTGGCACTGACTGGCTTTGGGATTCACAAGGCCCCCCACGTCCCCGCCCCCACACGGTCTCTTCTGTCTTCGCCAGTCTCTCTCTCCCAACCCAGTGATGCTCTCCATTCGAAATTCACACATTGACCAAGATTTCAGAGCAGTCTAGAACTAGGGAAATAACTGCAGCTGGGGAACCCAAATAGGAAAGGGCAGGGGGGCCCTCTCACACTGTCCCCTGGGTCCCCCTATCCCCTCCCCACCCCCTGCTCAACCCTGTAGTCTCAACGCAGGGACGTGGGACTGGTGGGCCTGGCCGAGGCCCCTCCCCCCCCAGCAGACTAAAGGAAGGAAGCTGGGGAGGCCGGGCAGAGATAAGGGGGAGGGGGTTAGGCAACACCAAGGGCTCCCCTCACGGTGGGGGCTCAGAGTTGGGGGCTTGAAAGGGTCTTAAATAAACTCACCATGTGACTTGGCTTCCTTCCCCAATTTTAACTTTGCCAACTTGCATTTGTTAATAGCTACACTCCTTCTGCCCCCATTTGTCAGGCCTGTATTTCCACAGCCTGGGGCAGGTCACAGCTCAGCCTCAGGTCCCTCTAGCTTTGCGGCACACCTCCCCCCCCCCCAGGTAAAGGCCAGCTCTAGTCCAGCCCAGGAAGCTGAGAATCTTCATAGTACAAGGGGATTAATGGATAAAGGGATCACAGGGCAGGCTGGAGGGGCCGGCCTGGGAATCCCTTGGTGCAAGGCAGACTAGTCTAGGTAGGGGGCAGATGGGCCAGACTCCACCCAGCTGGGGAGGCCACGGGGTGGGGCTCCTGGGGTCTACACCCATCTGGGCCTTCTCTTCTTATCTGGAAGCCCCAGGGCCTGAAAGTTTCCTTCTTTGCCTCCCCTGGAGCCTAGAGCCCTGGGCCTGGCACTTCTCACCTAGTCTAACAGCCCCGGGCCTCTCTCCCCCCCCCACACACACACACGCACGCACGCACACATGCACACATGCACACGCACACACACACATGCACACATGCACACAGCAGACCAAGTCTTCTCACCTAGTCTAGCAGCCCTGGGCCTCTCTCCCTACACACACACACACACACACACACACGCACGCACACACACGCACACATGCACACACACATGCACACACACATGCACACACGCACACACACACTTGCACACACACACGCACATGCACACAGCAGACCAAGTCTTCTCACCTAGTCTAGCAGCCCTGGGCCTCTCTCCCTACACACACACACGCACACACACACACACATGCACACGCACACGCGCACACACATATGCACGCAGCAGACCAAGTCTTCTCATCTAGTCTAACAGCCGGGCCTCTCTCCCTACACACACACACACACACACACACACACGCACACATGCACACATGCACACGCACACACACACATGCACACAGCAGACCAAGTCTGTCTCACTCCTGGCCTCCCAGTCTGAAGAGCAGGACTCCAGGGCTCACCACAAGTTATTCTCATGAGAATCCAGAAAGCGCTCGGTCAGATACAAGAAAGGACTTCCAGGAAGTCAGAAAGACAGCTGAACCTGGCAGGAGGCAGTGAGTGGGGCTGGGCTCGGCTCTAGGCCGTCCTCAATCCTTGTCCTTCCCATAAGTGTTCTGCACCAGTGCAGCCCACCATCCAGGCTTTCAGGTGGGACCAGTGATTTTGGGGGGGGGGATTGCAGGGTAGAAGAGCATCCAAAAGTGAGGAGAACTCCCCGCTACAACCTGCCACTAGCCCCAGCTGCTCCCCCGCCCAGCCCAGCCCAGCCCTGTCCTCAGCTCTCTGCTTGGAAACTGGGCTCTGTCCAGGCATTGTCTGCCTTCCACGGCCGGCTGCCCATTGAGGTCTGGCGTGTGCTGGGGCGGGAGGGGAGGAGTTGGTGGGGACCCCACCTTCCCCGAGCCCCTGAAAGTCCGGCTCTTCTGATGCTCAAGCCCCAGACCCCTGCATCCAGATCGGCAAGGCACGGAGGCACCCAGACCCCACTCGGGGCAATGGGACTGGGAAGCAGCGGTGGCACACATCACACTAGGAGCTGGATGCAGAGGGCAGGCACAAGCCCTTCTCTGTGGAAAGGGTCCCGGGAACCTTCCCGTGGTGGCAGTCGGAAGGAAACACCAGCTTTTCCTCACTCTTCTACACAAGGTGCCAATCCCTTAAGGCTCCCCAGGTGGAAGCCTCATACATACCTCACCATGTCCCCCAGTCCAGCCCAGGAACCCTGGACAGAGGCGGGGGGCGGGGGGTTGCTGAGCTCTATTCTGCAAGATGGAGTCTAAAGGAAAGCCCCCTGTGGAAGGGGCACCCCGAGCTCCTTCCCTCCCAGGCCTGGTTCACAATGGGTGGGGGCCGGACCCTCACATTTCCCTTTTATGGTGTTCTTGGACTCTCCCAATCTGCAACCGATGCCATATTTACATTTCTCACTCCCACCCCTCACCCGTGGGCCCCCTCCCTCGACCCACACCGGATCCTGCTGCAGTGCCAGCCCCAGCGGCAGCCTGGCCCCGCCCCAGCCAGCCCACCAGGCACCTGCGGGGCTCCTCTTTGTCTCTCTGGCTGTTCAGGGCCAGGAAGGCAGTGCTCCAGTGATGCTCCCAGTGCTGCCTGGGGTGCAAGGGTGGGGGTGCCTCAGTCTCCCTCCCTCAACACCAGCACTGAGCAGCGGCCAGCTCCTCTTCTCTGGACTGCAGAGGGCTGGCCGGGTGGCAGGAGGCATCTGCCCTGGGACAGGCAGGGGGAAGCTCTCCCATTGCCATCTCTGACCCTGTCTAGAAGCCACTTCCTAGAACCCTTGTAATTTGGGTCACGTGTGACCCAGGAGACCTGCAGACCTGTCTCAGAGACCTGCCCTAGACCTGAATGGCCTCCCCCTCCCCCGGCCACTCTCTCCAATCACACAGGGCTGGGCAGAGGTAGACGGTCCTGTCCGCATCCCTACCTTGGTGAAAAGTCCCAGATTGGCACTCTGCCACCAATACACCCCTCTCAAAGGGAAAAACCCAAAACAAGAGCGGTGATGTGATGCAAAGCGTCCCCGCCCAGCACAAAGAACACAGATGGTCCAACTTTGCAGCATTTCCTGCCCCCGCACCCCTGAGTACCCCTCCCAATGGCACCTACCGGGCCATGTCCTCTCCCCACCTCATTTCTGCCAGGGTATCACTTCAAGTCCCAGAGCTGTTGAGAATGGAACCCCACATAAGTCTACGCAGCCCTCCCCCACTCAATTTTATCTGAGTGCCTGCGGATGGGGCACTAGTCACGCGCTCCTGCCCTCTCGGAGGGCAGCACCTCAGATACCCCTCTTCCTCCCTGCCCTGGCCCTGTCTCCTCTCGGGCCGGGACCCGCAGGATCCTCTCCAAAGCCACTGGCTCCCCGCAGAAGGCCAAGGCACCGTCCCGGCCCTGCCCTGGTCCCCCCGGCCCTGCCCTGGTCCCCGCACCCGAGCTTTGTCTGCGGGACCGGCTGCGGAGAGGGCGCGCTGCCCTCGCTCGCCGGACCGAGAGCACAGAACCGGCTGACCGGGCGGACCAGGGGAAATTCCTCCCCCGCGGAGTCCCCGCAGGAGACAGCAGCCTCGTGGGGAGGCGAAGAGGAAACACACAGACGCCCCGGCCTGGGCCCGCGCTGGGTGTGAAATACCGGATTTCCTTGTTTATTCGATTTTCTGATCATTAAGGGCTCCCAAGGGGGCCCCGAGATCACCCCCCAAACAAAGCCACCTTCCAGCGAGCGGTCCGCGGGGCCGCCACTCCCCTGCGGCAGCCGGGCGGGCGCGAGGCGCCCCCGGCCCGGCCCCTCCCCGGCCGCCCCGCGAGGACCCCCGCCGAGCCACGCAGACAGCCGGCCATAAACCGCGCAGAGGCACCTCAGAGCGCCGGTATCCCATACCTGCGGCCACCATGACAGCAGCAGTCACCCTAGGCCCGGTCCACCGACGGGGGTCGGCAGGATCAAAGCACAGGAAGCGTCCGGGCACATCCAGAAGGCAGCGGCTGCGCGAGCGGGGGGCGACGGGGCGCGGGCGCTGCCGCAGGGAGGCGACCAGCAGGCGGCCAAGAGAAGGTAGACAATGCAAACGCGGAGCAAGCAGCACGGGGGTCACACACCGGCAGACACACCGGGCCGAGCAGCAAGACAGCCTGCTCAACCCACAAGAACAGCGCCCGGTGGACGCCGCAGGCCAGACCACGCGCAACTAACAACAAACGAGACGGGCAGCACGCGCGCACGACACTCCCCCCGCCGCGCGAACAAGGCGGGAGCCCGGGACGCGGACCCACCCGGGCCCGCGCCGCGCTCCGCCCCGTCCCGGGGCCGCCAATCGAAGGCCCGGACGGGCGGCAGGGGCGGGACTGGCGCCTTTAAAGGGTCCTCTTGGCTCGCGTCCGCAGGGCGGGCGGCCGGCCGGGTGGGGGGCGGGGCGCGGGAGTGGGACGCGGGCTGCGGAGCGGACCACGCTGGCGTCGCACAGCCCCAGCCTGAATGGGACCCCCACTTCGTACGTGAGAAACTGAGTCGCAGAGAGGGGAGCTACTCAAGGTCACAGCCAGCCGGTGGCTGAGCGCGGCGAAGGACCCGGGTCCCCCGGGCGTCGCGCTGCGCCCCCAGAATCGCACAGCCACCAGCGGTTTGTGGCGTGAAAGAACCAGGCAGGCTTCCCGGCTGCGTTTATTCCGGCAAACTCGCCGGCCTTTATTGCAGGGGCTTCTCGCTAGGGCCTGGCTGAAATTCCCCCCACCGCTGCGCTGCGGCATCTCTCAGCTCCCCGGGCTGGCTCCTGGCCGCGCTCCCCGCCCAGACCGCCCCCCCCCCGCCGGACCGCGCCCCACTGACCTTTGTGACCCACCGATGAGCCCCTGAGCCTGACCCCCGCTCTGCCGCTTGTGGCAGGAGGGGCAGAGGGGCAGTGCCGAGGCCTGAGCCGCCCTGGGGGAGGGGAGGGAACAAAGGGGGCACTCAGTTCCAGGCACCTGGGTAGGGAGGCTGGGCCTCGAAGGGAGTGGGGTGGGGAGGGGAGAAGGAGGGCAGCTGCCTGCTGGAGGGAACAGAAAGGGCGAGGAGGAGCCCCAGCTGCAAAATCGCAGCTCCCTTTCCAGTCCGCCACCCCACCCACCCGGAGCCCAGACTCCACCTCCCTGCCCCCAACCCCAACATTGGGGCCATTCACAGGGCCCCTCACCAGCTGCCCTCACTTCACCCCAGTCCCCCCCTGGCCTGGGCCCAAGAGGAGGACCCAGCTGCAGCTCCAGATGTGGATGGAGATCTCTGGGGGAGGGGAGAAAGGGGAGTCTGACTCCAATCCATTTGCATCACCCTCAGATGATGAAACCAAGTCAGAGATTTTGGCAAGGGTGTGGATTAGGGTCTGAGGATGCATCTGCTGGTGCCATCCTCCTCCCGTTCCCGCCCTCCCCCTCCCCCAGGGGGAACTGCTCCATCCAGTGGCTCAGATCTGGATGACAAAGATAATTCCAAGGGCAAATCAACACACCCTCCCCATCCTGGAGGCAAACAGGAAGAGTGCCACCAGCCGAGTGCCACCAGCCGTGCTCCTGGGAGGGGGGAGGGGGAGGAGGTCCTGGTGCTATCCTGCAGCTTTTATTGGCATTTGAGCCTAGAGGAAGTGCTCCCTGCGGTCAGGGGATCACCCCTCCCAGAGCAGGAGGCCGTGGTCAGAGGAGTCCGATCCTGGACATTCCCACCTGTCTTCCAAGCAGAATGGGAAGTGGGGGAGAGAATAACGTGCGTGGACCACCTATACAAAGTAGTTTATGTGCACATCCATTCTACGCCATCCCCATAGCCTTGTGAGCTAGGCTTTAGTGTTCTTTTCCAGTTTTGCAGGCACTGAGTCCCACCCAGCACAGAGGCCACAGATCAGGATTTGAACTCGTGCGTCTGGTTCTAGACTGCTCAGATCACCTTCGAGCAACCAACCAGAGGGAAGGAAGCTGAGCCGGCCCAGGGTTTTCCTGGAGGCACAGCCGGCTCCAGGTTTAGCCCTCCTGGATGACAATGCTGCATTTTGCAACGCTGCTCCCTGCCCACCCATCTCTGGACTTCTCTGGGGCCCAGCTCCGGTTTCCTGCCTGCAGGAGGTCCCCTCTGACTTCGGACTGTAGGTGACCCTTCTGACTCACTCTTCTACTGCTGGGAAATGCCGCCAGAGCCGCTACCCACCCCCTCCGCAGCCCTCCAGGCCGCAGAGTGTTGAGCTGTGGGAAGTGGGGCAGCACATGGGTTGGAAACACGGGCCTCGTAGAGGTCAGGGCCTCAGGAGGACTTGGGCTCCCGCAGCCACCTCACAGCACCCTCCTGGGCCACCTCTGCTGCCCAGAAGCGAGGAGGAAACTGGGCAGAGGCCAGATGGGTGGGAGCCAAGGTGGGAAAGAGGCTTAAACTGCAGCTTGGGGAGGTCAGGTTAGATGGTCAGAGGGTCTGGGACAATCCCCGCCCTTTTCAGTAGTCTCCGTCCAGCTTCAGCACAGCCGCTGCTGCTTCCCTCTGGTGTATCCCCATGCCCCTCTCTCCCGCCCCTTCCACCTCCTCCCTGCTGCTCTTCTTTCCTTCCCTCCTTCTCAAACCCTGAAGTTTCTCAGAATCAGCTGCCTATATGGGAATCTCCCCAGGTGCTTTCCTCTCTGCCCACGGGAACGCAAGCGTGCACGCACACACAACTGGAGTTAGCCCCGAGAGGCCTAATTGGATTGGGGTTTGAGCCCCGTTCCTGCCCTGAGCTGAGGCCCTTCCCCCAGGCATCTTGCCGTCGCCATCATTTCTCTTGAGGGAGCTGTGGGCGTCTGGGCAGATGGGAGCCTGGGGGAGGTGTGAGGGGCCCTCTCCCAGGCAGGAAGCTCCCACGCTAGCTGCTGCCGTTGAAATGCTCCAGCAGCAACTTGGGGCAGCCATCTGGCCCGGATCTCCCAGGCACGGCCCAGCTCTCAACGACAACGCTAGAGCAACAAATCAAAACACCCAAGAGATACCTGTAGGCCCCAGAAATGTCTCCACAGGTGGTCTGAACTCCAGCCCTGTTCTCTTTTATCGCCTGCGGGGGTTAGCACTGGGCATTGGCATTTGCAAAAACTGTCTGAGATTTGATCTAAGGTCCTGAGGGTGGAAGACACAGAGTTCTAGACCTCTAGTCCCAACCCCGAGCCCACTCCCGCAGCTGCGCTTGGTTCCGGGGAGAACAGGCGTGGCCCATCCTGCTGGCAGGTGGCTCAGCCGCACCCTCTGATGCCCACCTGGAAGCAGAGCCCCGTTCTGCCCGCCGGCGGCAGCAGCAACACAGAACCCCAGAGAGGGTCTGCTGGGGTGCAGACTCAGGAGGTCTTAGGTCCGGCGCAGGTTCAGCCTGACTTCCTCTTCCGCAGGAGGAGACAGCCTCAGCCACAGAGGAAACCGGAGTTTGTCATAAATAGCAAGGAAGGGAGAGAACTGCTATGGATTAGAAACACCCCATCAGTCTTTAAAAAAAAAACAAAAAAAACCAAAAACATTTTTAGTGTCAAATAATAATGAGGGTTTAATCATTACTCTGTGTAACTTCACACATGGGATCTTTATGCACCCTTCTATTTTGTGATGCCTCCCAATGCAGTGTCAGGGCCAAAGGCAAGAGCAAGTGTGGGTAATTCTCTGTGTCACCAAATCCAAGACTTAGAAAGAGCCATAAGATCATCTACTGCAGTCCTTTTATGTTCAGGTGGAGAAACTGAGGCTCAGAGAGGTGAAGGAACTCATCCAAACTTGCGCAGTGAGGTAGGGGCTGAGCAGTGACTAAACACACGGTCCCGACACTCCCAGAGCAGGGCAGTTTCCACTGTAGCACAATCGGACCGAAAGGCTAAACATCTGAGATCGGGCTGTTGTTGGTGAGTTTGTAGTCTAGATAAAAGTTAGGTCGCGCCTGTAATCCTAGTACTCTGAGAGGCTGTAATCCTGGCACTCTGAGAGGCCGAAGTGGGAGGATCACTCAAGGTCAGGAGTTCAAGACCAGCCTGAGCAAGAGCGAGAACCCATCTCTACTAAAAATAGAAATTAATTGGCCAGCTAAAAATATATAGAGAAAAAATTAGCCGGGCATGGTGGCGCATGCCTGTAGTCCCAGCTACTGGGGAGGCTGAGGCAAGAGGA